TTGCTTAAACGGTGCGTTTTGCACCATCCTACCCAATAAGGGAAGATGTATAAAGAAGCAGAGGGTCGAAGGTTGGTGATTCATCAAACGTAAACAAACGTTTAACGTTTTTTTTACGTTTCATGAAGCATCAACTTTGGTCTCCCTCCCCCTTGTAGCGATTTTTTCTACATGGCTGGTCACTCTAAAATGCTACGTCTGTTATTCGCGGTTTTCCTTCAAATGAAATATACACACTAAAAAATGCGGTTGATTACGACCTGCCGATAATAGAACAGCTGGTTAACCCTCATTTTAAATGGGCAGGTTTTCGAAGAAATAGAAGTTGCCGACAATAGTCAGACTCACCTGAGAATTTTTGAGTGTTGTAAAAACGTTTTCAAACCGTTTTGGACAATTCTGTCTATTGGAATGGATAGAGTAGCAGGCTGCAGATAAATTTAAACACGTCATATGTATGCCTGACACTGAAAATTAGCTAATAGACGTGCGAACGTTGCTTATACTGACGAGAATACAAAATACTGAATTTCACTAGTCACCTGATGTCAGTATCCTTTCACACAATTAGAATATCAATATCATTTGCCTCAATGTCAGTGCGCAAATGACATTGACATCGTAAAGGGACCATTGATATTCAAAGTTCTGCTGCAAATGTTTCTTATATACGCCAGCTAATCAAGTACCGATCTTTAGAAAACTCATCAGTAATATTAAAACAATGCAACGGTTATACAAAAAAGTTGATTTATTGAGATAAAAGTAAGATTTTAAAATTTTCCCTTGTGATATTCATATGGATAGTAATATCAAAGCCTGATATTATGCTTACCAAGACTTTCTGCACCTGTTGGAAACTAACGATTTTAAATTGACTAACTACTTGACTAGCCTATTGGTCCCAAGCAAATCGATTAACGTACCCTATTCTAGTCGAAATTCTAGTACTACACTATGTTTGTTTTGATTCCCTATGAAAGTTTGGCAGATAAAATGAGGGGTTCGTGGATTTTCCTATGTTTCGAGGGGTGCATCGATTAGCTTGGGACCGAAGATAGTACCAGAGCTGAGCCAAAAAGTTGAGCACGTTTCTTCGGGACCTTCTGGTCTAAGAGTTACCTCTATGCTATCAGTGTCGGATGTGAAAATCAGTGCTAGGCCAATATCTTACGTCAATTGACATTGTTGACAGCACGCAGCACTTAACTTTAAGTTTTTGCTAGGCTGAGCAACAAAAATTCTGAAGGATTATTTTTAGCAGACTTATGTAATGAACCAAGGCTGCATCGGAAAGTTTCTATCATGAATCCGATGACTCGTTGACTGATAATTTACGATTTACGATAAGCATTCATGCGATAAAAAAAAGCTAGTCAGACTGGGTTGTTCTATTGTAATGCACAAAGTGATGTTTTAAGAGCCTGCCTCATTTGAAAAAAATGCATGAAGTGTTAAATTTGCTGTAAAATGATTAATTTTTCACTTTCACCCACGAGTAATATGTACACTTTCAACAGGGCGATGTACCCCTCGATATTTGGGATTTACTTCGTTCAAAAAAGGTTTTTGATGATATTGTCAAATACCCCACAATATTGGTATTTTTGGAATACTCCGATTCCACGTAGGAACCTGAAATCCATTTCTGACGCTATTTTGAAATCCAAGATGATGACATACGCTTTGATAAAAACTGGGAAATACTGTCAAATACCCCACAATATGTATTTTTGGAATCGGGTGACGTATAAGGACTGGAAACTCCGGTCTAACACCAATTTGAAATACAAGATAGCTGCTTCCGGCTACAGAAAAACAAAAAATACTGATAAGTAACCTACAATAAAATCGGGTTGACGTGTTAGAACCGAAAACCCACGTATGACGCCATTTTGAAATCAAACATGACGGCTTCCGGTTACAAAAAACACTGTCAAATACCCAACAATATGAGTATTTTTGGAATCAGGGTGTTGTGTAGGAACCGGAAATCCAAGTCTGACGCCATTTAGAAATCCAAGATGGCGGCATCCGGTTACATAAAAACTGGGAAATACTGACAAATACCCCACAATATGGGTATTTTTAGAATTAGAGTGACCTGTAGGGCCCAATATACCAATATAGCAATATATTTCATTGTAATAAAGGGCGAACACGAAATTATTGCGACACCGAAAATGTCATGCCAATTTTCTTATAATGTTTAGAATCAAACCAAAATTTTAGGGTAGTTTTATACATATATTTCCTTCAAAAATCAAAAGAAAAGTTAATCGATGGAGCCTTGAGTGTAAAATTGAACGCATTTTCGCTTGATGCCCTCCATCAAAGTCTTTACAGTGTCATCCGGTACCAGTTTCTCAGTTTTTTTTTTTTTTTCATTTTCTTAACATGTCCTTCTCGTCTTTGGCTGTCTTCTTGCTCTTCCGAAGTTCCCGCTTCATTATTTCCCAGTACTGCTCCACCGGGCGCAGCTCCGGACAGTTTGGCGGATTCATGTCCTTTGGAACAAAATGGACAGAATTGGCCTCATACCACTCCAGGACACTTTTAGAATAGTGGCATGATGCCAAATCTGGCCAAAATAGCGGAGCTTCGTCGTGCTGCTGCAAGAACGGCAAAAGGCGCTTCTCGAGGCACTCAGATTTGTAGAGGCGAACTTCGACATTTTCTTCTATTTAAATTTGTCGTACACATCGAACTTGCTCTTGCCGGTGAAAAACTTCAACCCCGGAATTTGCTTAAAATCGGCTTTTATATACGTTTCGTCGTCGATCACACAGCAGCCATATTTTGTCAGCATCTTCTCGTAGAGCTTCCGTGCCCGAGTTTTAGCCGTCGATTGTTGCCGCTCATCGCGGTTTGGGAAGTTCTGTACCTTGTATGTATGTAGTCCAGCTCTCTTCTTTGCATTCTGGACGTAGCTCTGCGACATGCCGATCTTTTTAGCCAAATCACGGCTTGAGACGTTGGGATTTGGTTTAATCATCCGCTTCACCTTTCCCTCCGTCTTTTTGTTCTCCGGTCCCGGTTTTCTTCCAGCTCCTTTGCCGTGGTCCAACGTCAACCGCTCCTGGAACCGCTTCAACACTCTGGAGACGGTTGAATGGTGAATGTTCAACATTTTTCCCAACTGCCGGTGCGGCAGGTCAGGAAATTCCAGGTGTTTGGAAAGAATTTGTTCTCTCAACTCGCGTTGGTTCACCTCCATTTTCGTTGAATCGAAAAACACGACTTTGAGTTTGACAGCATGTACACAATACACATCAATGAGAAAGTGTGCAGAATTTGGTTGATTTTTACCTAATGGTAAAAAAGTTATGCCCTGTTGAATGTGTCGCAATAATTTCGTGTTCGCCCTTTAAGGACCATCTACTGACATTAACGGAATATTCAAAACTTATGCGCATAGATGACGCCAAAATCAATCTTTAAACTTCTGGAGACATGACATCTCCGACAAAGTTGTTTATTTTTCAAAAATAAACAAAATTCCACAGTTCAATTTTATTGAAACAATTTCCAACCGATCTGAAATTGCTTCAATTTTTTTCATTTAAGACGGAATTCCCAATCGATTGGAAACTGTTTCATCAAAACTGTCCAAAAATTGACGAAATGGGAGTGAAAACACGTGTTGCGTTAACAAGAAAAATTATATAAAAATATGCTTCAATAGCCAAAAACAAACATATAACTCCAATGCTCAGTGGTCCATGCTGGAAATTTAGCATGAGAAAAGTGCTAGTGCTTATATCATAGAATTAAAAAATATTTAAAAAAAATAAAGAAATAAAAAATATTCCTTATTTTGGCCGTTTAAACAATAAGAGTGGTCATCAAATTAATTTTTATTCAAAAACTATCTTTCATATTTATTATTCATATCAAATTAATAGATATTCAAAAACCAACTGTTTTGAAAATAGAGGTAGGTTCTTCAGCAAAGCTGTAGTAAAAAATGATTGCCAGCTACTTTGTTGAAGACACATCTTCTCTATCTCTACAGATGCCGTAAGACATAATGTAAATGGTTGCGGAAAACGAGCTTGGAAGGATATTGTTTACCCTCTACTTGGAATAGGTTCAAGAGACAACCTTTCCTAAGACGTTCGGTACCCTACATAGCTGAAAAATCCCTTCCAATGCAAATAAGTTACCCCGTTAGGTGAGTATGCAATATAATGCGTTTTGATACCTAAGAGCACATTATGCCCACTGGAACTGAACTTACTGAGAAGTAAACCGCATCGGTCAGCACTAACTTTGGGGTGTAACGATGTGAAGGCTATTCGCGACTACGAAGCAAAACAAGTTCTACCTTTCTTTAATATTCAAACGGAAAATTAAATGAATCTGTGCTTGAAGTATACATTCACCTTTCGCTTTTTCTCATGAAAATTTGCTAAATATGTTATGGAAGACGGGGTGGAGCTACAGGCAGTTAGGTGACACTGTGATTCAATGTTTTTTATATCAAACACCATAAATCTTACATGACTGACAAAATTAGAAAGTTTTAAAAATTAGATCTCACAACTAAATAGAAATATGTAATATAAACACTGTTAATATTTTGGTATACATCAAATAAAATAAATGAGCAAACAACTCACATAAAATTCAAGGCTCACGGTCGAGCTCACGGTATAGATATTACTCTTCCTATTTCTGGATTATTTTTAAATTATTACAGTTGTCCAAGCATTGACATGATGACTAATAGTTTAAACTAGGTACAAACTATATTGCTAAACACTATTCCTTGTGTTGCTCAAATTTCGAGTCATATTAATAAACATCTACAGTTCTTCAAGCACACTGCTTTGTTTCTGATCATACACTTTCTCAGCATTGTAGTGCACGTTCTCTCAGCAGGGCAGCAACTGCGCAGGATCTGAATCATTCATTCCCATTTTTAGAACCAAACAAAAACATGTCAAATGCACTGCAGTAATTCCCACGAAATGTTAATTTTCCCACATTTTTATTACCTTTTTCCACCTCTGTCAGTTGTATCGACTCCATGATGTGCCTTCTTTTAGCGCTCCCAGTAAATAATTAATGCCCTTCTCACTTTACGAAGCACAAACCGCAGTTTTAATCGAATCGTGTAGTTATACAATCAACTGGTTCATTGACGTTCTAGTATACAGTTCTTATCTAACATCTCAGCCAAAAAATCACTCTACACCGTACAAAATCCACTACTCATCCACCCGTAACGAACCGTGTCGATTCCAGAACTTCACAGCAATCACATCCGTCACGATTGCAGGGAGAATCTGTTCTGAGCAATTCAAGAGTGATCAGACAGGAAAAACAACGGTTGAGAACAGGGCAAAAATAAACATCGGGAACGAATACACTCATTTTGCTTCCGCGCGCGCCGGTACGAATAACGCAAATCAGTTAAACGTAGTCAATTAAACACTCCTCTCGCGTGAAACAGCTGAGTATACTATCGGAAATTTAAAAAAATACTACCGGCGCTGATATGAGCACAAACCAGCTAGGAGATAGCGTTTTTGGCCCTTTCGTAACTGGAATGACACACTTACGAGATTTGAGTCTATTGGTAATACAAACATGATAACGCGGAGCCAAATTAGATCGATTTGATGTCCTCTATTGCAGTGTTGCTGAATCTATAGGTTGCTACCCACCGCTGGCACTGCATAGTAGGCAAAAAATAACCCTGAATAGCTCCTATATATCGTTTGAGATACTTAATAGGATACACAGCAAACACATTGTAGATTTACGTATGACTCATTAATGTATTAAAAACATTAATTTTACTTGAAAGTATTTTATAATACATTCATTTGCAATGAACTTTACATGCATGTGTGTTTTTACATGGATGTCATAAGTTCAATTGAAAATGATTTAATTTTCAAAGAACAACGATATAAATTCACATGAACGTGTACATACAACATTGCCTCACGGGATGGCTGCAACTGCATCGTGCGAGGCGTGTTTGAGCAGGAATTCGTTTTTTGTACGGAACTCACGCACCCCTTGGAGGAAGACAATGTTCCAGCCAAATTCGGCATTATCCAGGACTTAACGACTTCGCTACATCAACGAAAGGTAATTAGTTTTAATAATATAAATTTGTCGACTGATACGATCCACCATACTACTTCACCAAAAATATAGACCTTCAATCGCTCCAATAATGCACAGTAATACTCGCTGTTGATGTTTTTTTTTTCCTTTTTCGAGGTAGTCCACGAAGAGTATGCCATGACAATCCCAGAAAACCGACGCCATAACCTTTCCGACCGATCGAGCCTCCCTCGGCCGCTTCGAAGCCCTCGCACCGGCTTCAGCCCATTGCAGGGCACTCATTCTGTTCTCTGGGGTGTAATAGTGGATCCAGGTTATGCAGAATCTCGCCCAAAATATGGCGTGTGCGCTCAGTACTAATCTTTACGGTATCTGCTAGCTAGTATTTTTTTGACATTGTCATCTGTAACCGCATCGGAGGGCCTACTGGAGTTGCGGCCACCATGAAACTCTCGAAACCAATATTTGACGGTGTAATCTGAGGGAGCATTAGCCCCATAATATTTATCCAACTTTTCTTTTGTTTCCTTCCGTTTTACCTTTCAAAAATTAATGTTTTATGAGAGAATGAAAATCGTTTTTATCTATACTCAACATGATGCCAAACACGTTAACAACAATCAGCTGTCAAAACAAAACAAAAAACAGTATCGCACTGAAATTTGGCATGTCTGTCTAAATATGAACGGACTACAAGGCACCATAACCTTTTTTTGCAGTAGCAGCGCATTCTGGCGGTCAAGGAGGTTACTTTTCACCCCACCTAGTACAAAGTAAGAATCAAGCAAACACAAAGTTGGCTTGTTTTGCAACCTGCACAAGTGTAAAGCAGCGGAGAAGACACACACCCACAAACAACGATGTGGGTAATGTGTAGCCATCGCTCCGACGGCTCCGACGCAAAGAGCGCCACTCAGTGTAGGGTTGCAAATGGGAACAACACACCGTCGCCTGGAAACGCTTTCGGCAACGGCTTTAAACGCTGTACAGACTGGAGAGTTATCACATGTTATAACGGTTGGCAAATAATTGCAACACAGAAACCACCATCAAGATAGCGCTATAACATGTTATAACTCTGTAGTCTGAACGTACTATTAGGTAATGATAAATGTCACGAGAATTATTCCACAGCTGTAGACAGTATATGAGCAAGTCAACCGCGCACTCTTTTTCCTGTGGATTTGAAGAAAAACCTCAAGTCCCCTTATCCATTAATGTATGCGCTAGGTAAAAGAGTGTGCGTTTGACTAGTACTAGCTTCAATGGCCCTTCGCTCAATTTCAACTTCTATTCAATTTTCACACTGCTGTACTCTAGTGGAACTAGAACTTTCTCTAGCTAATAAATTAACACACTAAAGCTTCACGTTGATATTAGTATAGCATTTCCAACCAACTCTGAACAATAAATGGGGAAACTATTTGAATATTCGCGACCAACTAAAACTAGCCATTGATATTGCATTTGAGAAGTAAAGGGTGTCCATAGTTAAATTGCATCACTTTAAAAAAAACTATAACATTTTGCCCTTTGGGTTATTTTTAATAAAATTTTGGGTGAGTTTTCCTCAGCGTTTATTGTTCCGTACACGGAACCGAAAAATTACCCAAAATTAAGTTCTTTTCACTCATCTCCCATGTTCCGTTCAATAAGCTAATTTTCAGTAAACCGCTAACGGTGCCGGTGGTGTAGTGGTAAGCGTGATTACCTCTCACCCCAGAAGGCTTGGGTTTAATCCCAGTCGGCGCCGCCGGGATGTTCTGATGTTCATCTCTGATCACGCCTTCCTTCGGATGGGAAGTAAAGCCGTTGGTCCCCGGTTCATGAGTTGATGGGTCGATAGGTAGGGTCCAGGTGTGGGAGCTGCCTTCCTGGCACGTCGGTAGCATTGGTGCTCAGCACGGAAAACAAGATCGACGGAAAAAACAAACCAAAGGAAAAAAAAAAGTAAACCGCTAATAGTAGTATACATTTGACTACGGCAAAAATAATTACTTACTCGTGAGTATTTTCTACCTAAAATTAAGTTCGATTGACTCAAATTTGAGAATATCTCATATACTCACTAGTAGCTTATTGAACGATAGTCATGAGAAAGTCGAATCTCTCGTTCCGTTTTTGACAACAACAAAAAGTGAGAGTGGGATGCAAAACTCAAAATTACCCAAAATTAAGTAAAAAGAACTTAAATTTAGGGTAATTTTTTTCTCTGTGTACTGCGTTGAAGATCACAAGCCAGTGGTTGCTGCCTTTAAACGAAAACCCAACTATTATGTTCGGGATGTCACGAAAAAACTGCACCTGACAAAAAGTATCGTGTAGAGAGCCATGAAACGAGCAAGGCTACGTTCATTCAAGGTTAAGAAAGCTCCATACCGCAATGAACGACAGAATAGGACAGCTAGAACGCGGGCACGTAAGCTGTACACACAAATGTTGACCAAACCACTCTGCAGTATCATGGACGATGAAACATATGTAAAAGCGGACTTCATCAAATTCTGGGAAAACAGTACGTGACTGGGAAAGTTCGATGTTTCGTAGTCCCTCAGGAAACAGCAATTGTCAAAGCTCCCCAAGAAATTAATTATTTGGCAGGCGATTTGTTCGTGCGGGAAACGGAGCAAGCCTTACGTAACAACTACAACCATACAATAATAATAAAGCACGAACTCCGTAAGCATCCTAAAGTTGTCACTACTGAGCATGAAATGTTGAAATCATAGTTGAAAGCAGAAAAATGTCGATTCAACCGTTGTACAAAACCTTATTGGTGGAATTAAGAAGAAAGTTCGGGCATTTGGATTTATGAAAAACTTAGCATTCGAACTTGTGCTCCATTTTTTTTTGCTTTTTAATATGTCATGGAAAAGCTCTAGTACCTATATTTAAAAGAAGAAAAACATCCGTCATAAGTAATTACCATGGAAGTGCAACATGGATTCTTAAAAGGACGTTCAACAAACACAAATGTTCTCAAACTCGTCAATGAAAACCATGTAGAGTCAGTGTTCACTCGGCTGTCGACAAAAGCAGGCCACTCTCGATGTGTGCTACGCGATCGTCTGTTTTCTCGGCAGCAACCATTGTGTGGTCCTCCTCATTGTTCTTCATCAGCAGTTCTTTCGGTCGATGCGTCGTCGACTTTGGAAAGCAACCGTTTCGTGATGAGTGTGTGAGTGCTGACCACGTTTTGCGTCCATTGCTGCAATGGACGCGCTCTGACCCTCGTTGGCGTACAACAATTTGCCATACAATGAAACCACTGGAAGCGGCTCCAGTTCTGATGGAGGAGGCTTTTTGGATAGCGGAAGATAAAGTGTTTATTGTGTTGTACCTTTTGACTATAGTTTTAAGATGTATTGTATAGTGACCAAGAATCCTCGGCTCTGTAAAGTTAATTCGGTTGAGCCTTATCAAATAAATTTATAAAAAAAAAAAAAAAAAAAAAAAAAACCATGTAGAAGCTTTCTATACTCTGCTGTTTATATTATTTGTCAATAACATTTTCTTCATCCTTAGAAACATAAGATTTCTTATTTATGCCGACGACATGAAGCTCTTTTAAGAAATCAAGATATTCCAGAAGGAAATACACATTTTCTATGTTTGGTGTAACAAAAGCCTTTTACAACTGACCGTACAAAAATGTAATTCAATAGCTTTTAGCAGGAAACGAAATACCGAACGCCATTTCACCGAAAGCCTTTGTGTTGCTGAGCTTAGTGCTCCCTGCCCCCCTCTGGCTACGCCTATGGATTTAGGAGTTAACTTAGTAACTCATTGACCATAATAATACAATCATCAACAGAGCAAATAACATGCTTGGATTTATAAAACGTTTTAATCACAGTTTGCAGAACCCGTACACAAAAAAAATATACATTGCTTATATGTAAGGCCAATTCTGAAATATTGTTGCGTAGTTTGGTCACCTTTTCCAGACACGCACAAAAAACGAATAGTATCAGTACAAAATCAATTTTGATTCTTTGCACTTCGAGAAATAGCCTGGACAAGATATCCTCTTCCATTATATGAAACCCGCTGGATGCTTATCAGCATCCAAAAAGCACAGCGAATTTGCAATTTTCTCCTTTGTAAACGATATTGTTTCGCATCGCAATAACACTTTTAACAAAATGTAATTTTACGTACCTTCCCGGCAACTATGAAATCGAAATGTTGTTATTACAAGCCACCATTAACTATGTCAAACGTATCTCAAAAATTATTGATTGTACCTAAATAGTTTCTAAGGACGCGTTGTAGAGAATTGATATTAAAATGTGAATAAAATATACACTTAAACAATAATTGGGCTTTTTAATTCATTAAAAAAAAAA